TCGGACAGGAGAGGCCCTCTCGGCTCTCCTACATTTTTGGCATGTTTCCGTGCACCACCTTTTGGAGCTCAGCTCATGGAAACCGCTGAAGACTCTGTGGCATGATGTGCACCCACGCCCGCCCAACATCACTTTTGGTGACCCGCAACTTGGCTTTTACCGGGCTCACCACAGGAATTGACAAGGAACAGCACTGCGGCGCGAAAACAATGCAGGGCGGCCACGCAACGATTCAGATGGCCAGAGTCAAACTGCAAATTGTTGCTCGGCACTGTTGCACGAGGCAAAGCATAACGTTGGCAATGCGCTGTTCAATGAAACGAGGCTTCTGCAAAGCTCAGCACCACAGTCACATCGAAGACGGACAGTCCCAGCCAAACTCATTGAAGAGCCAATTCTCAACGTTACGATTATAGCTTTGGCATAGCAGGCTGGCACAGCCTTCGGGGCGTTACCCCCGCGGGCATGGAGCATCAGTTTTTAGTTGCTCCACACCAAACCTGTACAAGCGCCAAAAGAGTGAGACGAACAGCGGCAGAAGCCACATACAGAAAAGTGAAACGGGAGCTGGACCGGTGTGCATAGCACACTTTCCATTTACACGTAAATACAAGTCGACGCAAACTCGTTTGCTGGACTTGGTTGCCTTTGATTCGGAACCACAAGCATCGAAGCTTGATGGTGAAATTCACGTTTGAGCCAAAGAGTTTAGGGTTCATGGATTCAAGGTTGAGACTTGGAAGTTGCGCTGTCAGCACGTGCTTGCAAGCACTTGAGCTTCGAACCTGGCTTCCGTCAAGACTGCTACAAAAACACGCGAGTTGCAAACATGGTTTTGCCGCAAGCTGTGTCGGTTGTTCGCATACCTGATCCAAACATGCTGGCGCATGCACGTCCGTTTTAGTCTGGTCCGAGCTGAGGGCTGTCGTCGCACATGGACCTGAGCCAGGCTTTCACAGAAGGAAACTGAGGCTGCCAGTTTGCGGCTTCAGACGTTCTGAGTCATTCATTCACCCTCAACGAAGCGGGAACATGATGCCAAAAGAACGTCTGCTACTGATTTGGCTTTCGGGCCTCTCAAACACTGTCTGCTGCTGAGACGTCTCTTTGGGTTTTGTTGCCAGAGTCTCAAGGCCCCAAAAAACGTGTCTGCTACTTTGATTTCGGTTTCGGGCTTGCAGGCCCCTAAAACACGGCAACTGCTTGTGTCTTTTCGAGCTGCTGCATTAAATCTGTGGCCATACAGCCCATAATGAACGTCTGCTGTTTGGGTTTTGTTGCCAGAGTCTCAAGGCCCCAAAAAACGCGTCTGCTACTTTGATTTCGGTTTCGGGCTTGCAGGCCCCTAAAACACGGCAACTGCTTGTGTCTTTTCGAGCTGCTGCATTAAATCTGTGGCCATACAATACAGCCCATGATGAACGTCTGCTGTTTGGATTTTGTTGGCAGAGTCTCAAGGCCCCCAAAAAACGCGTCTGCTACTTTGATTTCGGTTTCGGGCTTTCAGGCCCCTACAACACGGCAACTGCTTGTGTCTTTTCGAGCTGCTGCATTAAATCTGTGGCCATACAACCCATAATGAATGTCTGCTGTTTGGATTTTGTTGGCAGAGTCTCAAAGGCCCCAAAAACGCGTCTGCTACTTTGATTTTGGTTTCGGGCTTTCAGGCCTCTAAAACACGGCAACTGTTTGTGTTTTTTCGAGCTGCTGCATCGAATCTGTGGCCAGACTCCCGAAAATGAACGTCTGCTGTTAGGATTTTGTTGGCAGAGTCTCAAGGCCCCCAAAAACGCGTCTGCTACTTTGATTTTGGTTTCGGGCTTTCAGGCCCCTAAAACACGGCAACTGCTTGTGTCTTTTCGAGTTCCTGCATTGAATCTGTGGCCAGACTCCCGAAAATGAACGTCTGCTGTTAGGATTTTGTTGGCAGAGTCTCAAGGCCCCCAAAAACGCGTCTGCTACTTTGATTTTGGTTTCGGGCTTTCAAGCCCCTAAAAGCGGCAGCTGCTTGTGTCTTTTCGAGCTGCTGCATCGAATCGGTAGCCAAACTCCCCAAAATGAACGTCTGCTGTTTGGATTTTGTTGGCAGAGTCTTAAAGCCTTCGAAACCGCGTCTGCTACTTTGCTTTTGGTTTCAAGCCTTCAAGCCCCTAGCACACGTCTGCAACTGTGATGCTGCTGTCAGGTCCAAGCAGCTGCAAGACTTCCAAAAGGAACGTCTGCTGTTTGGATGTTGCTGCAAAGTCCCGAAGCCTCAAAAGAACGTCTGCTGCTTTGGTCTTGCTTTCACGCCCTAAAACGTCGAACACAAGAAAGAGCTCCTCTATCTCTCTCTCTCTCTCTCTCCCCCTCTGTCTCCCTCTCTCCGCGCTGTGGCTTGCCATCGGACATCCAGCAGCAAACGCACGACTTCGACCGTGCTGCTCTTACACGCGAGCACCAATGCAGAACCGTGATTGTTACACATCTGTTTGTCGGTACCCGCATGCAGCAGTAAACGCACAACTTCAAAGTGGCCGTGGCCCACCTCCATCAAGGCAGTGGTACCGGAGCTGTCAGCTAAGTTCTTGTCGGCACCGGCCTCCAGCAGCAGGAACTTCACTGACAGCTTCACTGCTCTAGAGGCTCTCAGACGTGCTTCTGAGTGCTGATGCCTTCAGCTGTCAGCTAAGTTCTTGTCGGCACCGGCCTCCAGCAGCAGGAACTTCACTGACAGCTTCACTGCTCTAGAGGCTCTCAGACGTGCTTCTGAGTGCTGATGCCATCAGCAAAGTTCTTGTCGGCGCCAGCCTTCGGCAGCGAACAGACGACATCAACCGGATTAGTTTTTCGTCTCCACTTAAGCACGTTTGTGCCGCTACGAGCCGCCTTCGCCAGCATCTCGGCCACTTTCAAGCGGCCTCTGGCAAAGTTAAAGAGCATTGCCGCCAAACTGACTCAAGGCCTCCGATCCCACCTTCAGCAATGCCAGGACCATGTTCAGGTGACCTTGCAAGGCAGCTTTCACAGGGCGGTGCTGTTGCGGGTGCTAGAGGTCTTCTGCTGGTTCGTCGGCCTCTCACCCACTTTCAAAACGGCCCCTGGCAAAGAGCACTCGCCAAACTGACTTTCGGACTGCAACATGGCTCCAGCCTTCAGCAACGCAGGACCATATTCAGGTGACCTTGCAAGGCAGCTTTCATGAGGGCTGTTGCGGGTGTTAGCGGTGCGCTTCTGGGGCCTCAACCACCTTGATCTGCTTTTGCGAAGCTGCACATTCTCGAACTGATGCTCCATTGCACGTCTCTTTCTGCATGTCTTCTTAAAACAACATCGTACTGTTTCGTGGACTGCCACGGCCAAAGTATTGCAAGATGCTGGAGCAAATCGGAAAAGCACTGATACTCGAGATATGACAAGCTTCGATCCAGAGGAGGGAGCAGAGCTCCATCAGTCAGCCACTCTTTCTCAAACCCGACTTGGATCTGCAGGCGATGCTGTGACTGTGTGCTGGACACCAACGTCAATGACTGGAAATAACATCCAAAAAACGTCTGCTGCGTAGACTAATCACAGCTCCAAGAAGCTTCTGCGTTCAACGAGGACTAGTCACATTTCCGCTAGCCGTAGGCTTGCTCCAAGAAGCTTGTGCGCTCAAGAGGCGCTGTCAAGTAACTGTACAGAACCTAGTTACACACACTGTACGCACTGCAACCTGGGTCTGTTTCACTGCAATCGAAACGTTTCCCGAAACCACTTCTGCTGGTTTGCCTTTGTGGCCAGACTCCCCAACAGAACGTCTGCTGTTTGGGTTTAAAGTCTCAAGGCCCACAAAAACGCGTCTGCTACTTTGATTTTTGTTTAACGCTTTTCAAGCATTTCAAACACATCAGCTGCTTGGTTTTTCTCGAGCTGCTGCTTTGATCTGTGGCCAGATTCCCCAAAATGAATGTGTGCTGTTTGGGTTTAAAGTCTCAAGGCCCCCAAAAACGCGTCTGATGCTTTTATTTTCGTTTCGCGCTTTCAGGGCCCTAAAACACGACAACTGCTTGTGTCTTTTCGAGCTGCTGCATCGAATCTGTGGCCAGACTCCCGAAAATGAACGTCTGCTGTTAGGATTTTGTTGGCAGAGTCTCAAGGACCCCAAAAACGCGTCTGCTACTTTGATTTTGGTTTCGGGCTTTCAGGCCCCTAAAACACGGCAACTGCTTGTGTCTTTTCGAGTTCCTGCATTGAATCTGTGGCCAGACTCCCGAAAATGAACGTCTGCTGTTAGGATTTTGTTGGCAGAGTCTCAAGGCCCCCAAAAAACGCGTCTGCTAGTTTGATTTTGGTTTCGGGCTTTCAGGTCCCTAAAACACGGCAGCTGCTTGTGTCTTTTTGAGCTGCTGCTTTGAACTTCTGCCAGACCCTCCAAAATGAACGTGTGCTGTTTGGATTTTGTTGGCAGAGTCTCAAGGCCCCAAAAAACGCGTCTGCTACTTTGATTTTCGGTTTCGGGCTTTCAGACCCTGAAACACGTCAGCTGCTGGTGTTTTTCAAGCTCCACGGCGAAAAGGATGCAGCATTCGAATTATGAATTGCGTGGCAGGCACAACCTCACATTGGCTCGCGGTTGTGTCCAAACACATCCTCCTCGTCCTCGTCCTCGTCCTCCTGGCGCAGAGGTCCATGGGAATTCGCGAGCAAACGGATGTCCTCGTTTACACGCACCCACAGAACTCGTCGACTGATGGCCGTATTGTGTTCCACCGTGCCGACTTCTTTCGGCCAAAAGCGATCCCAAGTCCAATTGGTGGAGAAAATGCGCGGGGTTTGCTTGGGAATGGTTCCATCAGCATTTCTGGCCACAATGTCACGGGTCTTTGACAAGTCGACAAGACCCTTGACGTCGTCAATCGAGCGTTCTACCATGCAGGCTTCATCGAACACCAAGCCTTGTTTGGGGCCGAAGCTGATGTCGCGTAGGCGGTCCAGACGATTGATGAAATGAAATCCGGCTTGTCCTACACAAGCGTGCATCAATGCGCGAATTCCGTCTTACCTAGGCCGCCGCGTCCCTCCAAAATCAAAGTGACCTCTTTGAAACCACCTTGCAACCACCAAGCCAAGCGCTCATGGATCTGCGGCAAAGGAACAAAGCTGGACAACAGAAAATCTGGAACGGCCACGAAGCTTCCAGAATCCATGTTTTCAGCATTCCACGCACTCAAAACTTTGTGAACCAAACCTGCGACATTTGCTTGGGCGCCGAGTGTGTTCCAGAGCGTCTCATCTCCTGAAATCTTTCGTGCTTTAGCAAGCTGCCAAGCGTCTTTGCAAGTTTGCACAGAATGTTCGACAAATGCATCCGTAATTTCTGAAAATGTCATCAAGGTTCGCTTCTTTCCAGGTTGGCCATTACGGGCTTCCATCTTGGGTACAGACTGTTGACAAAGTTGCATGAGCTGTGGTGTGGTCACATGAGAAGGCCAATGCCATGGATCTTTGTCTAAGTCTGCTGCAAGCTTGTGAGCACTGGCCACCAAACAATACTTGAGGTACGCTTGGTAGCCGACCAAGTTGAAAGAGAAATGGCCATGCACACCACCCTGCGCAAGTAGATGACCCAGTCTTACATGAGCAAACGGCCTGACAAATTTGAAGATGAAGTGTTTGTGTCGGGCTCGTTGGCCCGTCTCCTTGTCATACTTCTTGTGGGGCTCGTCAAAGACATGCAATCGACTGATATTCGATTGCTGGTTGCATTTTGCAAGGGCCTGAAGGAACATCTTACCAGCTTCCTCGTTGCTGAGATCCGCAGGAATCAAGCAATTGCGAGATTTGCGGGAAGCTGCATCTGCCAGGTACTGACGGGGACAAGGCCAAACAAACTGTCCACAGCGAGCACGGGCTTTAGGATCTGCGGGCTCGTCAGCATTGGAGGAGGACTCGCCCTCAGGACGAAATATGTTGTTGAACATCTTTAAAAACTGCTACACATGCGAACACCGACGTGCCTCAACATCACACATGGGTACATCCTCATCTGAAGATGAGGAGGACCCAGACGTGGGCGAAGAAGACATGGCGGGTTTGCCACTGGAACTGGGACTTTGAACTCAAGTTCGGTTGTGGCTAGTGAGACGCAGCTGGCTAGTTACGTTGGCAGCTGGTACTTGTTGCCCCCTCTCAACGCGAGCCCACAACCTTCGCAATTGTCGACAATATGTCGTCATGGCCACATAGACGACTACAGCTTGCAAAAAGGACAACTGTCACACGGAGTCCGGTAAATATACCTGCTCCACGCACATACCGCGAAACAAGCGGCCAAGATGACAACTGTTACGAGGATTGTGGTTTTCACCGTGCCAAAAACAAGCGAACATGCTCCGCCCACAGCAAAACCGTGTGACGGTGGCCATTTCCGGACTGGAATGTGCCAAAATCCAAGGAATATGGCTTCTCTACAGCAGAACCGTGTGACAGTTGCCACTTTTCGGACACGAATGTACCAAAACCCAAGGAATCTGCTCCGTCCACAGCGAAACCGTGTGACAGTTGCCACTTTTGAAGCACGAATCTGCCAAAACCTAAGGAAAACACACATTCCAAAATAGATTGCCAAAAATCCGGACCGGGAAAGGAAAATCGTAACGTTGGAAACCTTGTAAAAGATTCGAATTTTCTTTCTTCCAGCACATTCAACGTTACGATTTTCTGTTCTGGATCCGCATTTTTGGCAATCTAAAAAGGCCCCCTGCGCGCAAAACCAAGAGCATGTGCTCCATCCACGGCGAACGGTGTCACGGCGGCCACTTTTCGGACAGAAATGTCCCGCAACCCCAAAACAACGTCTGCTACTTTGATTTGGTTCTTTAAGCCTAAAGCACTGTTTCTGCTGCTTTGACCCGTTAGCCAGACTCCCAAACAAGAACGTCTGCTGTTTGGATTTTGTGGTCACGGTCTCACCCAAAGCACGTCTGCTGCCTTGCCTTTGCTTTGCGACTCCAAACGCGCTAAGGATGCTTTCGCTTTGCCAGGGCTCCAAAAACACGTCTGCTGCCTCGATTTTGCTTCGCGACTTCAAGTGCGCGACGAAAGCCTTCACACATCTTCACACTGCTTGTGACCGTTAGCTTCGCTGCTCCACCCCCTGTTCTTACAATACTTGGACTTCATGCAGGGACCCTAGAACACTTCTACTACTAACATCCCTGCTTTCCAACCCCACTGGCACGAACCGTGGTTTGACTTTCTGCCACATCCTCAACATCACTCCTTAAGTAGGATAATACAAGATAAACATGGCGTAATGCAGTCTGCAACCTTATCTTTTTCACGGCAAGGTGCATCGTGAGACGCAAGGAGAACTTCAAAAGCTTTGCAGATCCCAGAAGATCTTCAGCCGCTGCGCTTCTCTACAACAAGGCTCAGCAAATCTTCCTCCGACAAACGCTTCGCTGCCTGCTTTGCCTCAGCTTGACAGCAATTACAGAACCTACAGGTTGACGCAACTTCCTCGCCTTACGGACACGGCGCTGTTCTTGCTTCACTTGCTTCATGACCCTTCGGGCTTCTGCCTGGAATGCAGAAGATTCAAAAACGAGGACAAGCGGGAAGACCTCACTGAGACAGAAACCTTTGCAGCTTCACGCTCTTGCTTCAAACGCTGTAGGCGGGCTGACAAGCTTTCCTTTCAACTCTGCTTTTCGGTCACTGCTAATTACCTTCGTCTAACACACATTTCTGTCCAACCATGCACTCACAGAGCCTGGGGCAACTCGACTCGCTCCCTT